TTAAATGTCGGTAGAGGAATTGAAGAAGAGATCAGTAGTAAAGATCTCGAGTTACTTAAAAACCAAGAATTTCTTAGAAGATGATAACTGTGAAAGATTTGTGGATGAATATATAACGAAGAAAATAAAAGTTGAGGAGCTCAAATTCAACAAATATGGAAAGAGAAAAACGTATTTGGGTTTTTTTTGTCGCGAACCCTAGAATGATTTGCGAGAGAAGGAAAGGGCAAATTTTCCTAATGTTTTTGTTTCTTTTCTGTTTTGCTATGGGTCACAATGAAATGATGCTATTCTTACTTTTGTTTTTTATTCTTGATGATAATAAAATACACGTATAGAATATTTCTAATTTGTGTCCATATCTTCTCCTGGCCACATAACAAAATTAATTAGATGCCAAAAACAGAAACAGTATAATTTAAAAAAAAAAAATCTGAAAAACAATCAGATGTGATCAAAACAATTCATAAAAAGATTCTAAAAGAGGAGGACTTTTTTCTTTAACCTCAACGGTGGTATCTCAAACAAAAGTGGAAGCACCAGTATCTAGGCATCGACGGGTTTGCATTAGTGACAAAACGTGTCTTCTTTCTATTTGCGAGATCTAGTTTCGTAGATGTTACTGGATCTCCCCACTGGTTGCAGCTGTTCTTTCGGACGATGGTTGTGGCTACATCTCCGGTTATCTCGTTGGTTTCGATCTCTTGCCAGTTTTTTCTAATTTCAGTATCGAAGTCGAGGTGGTTCGACTCTTTGTTTCTGTTTATCATTCTGATTTAAGTTATGCAGTTCAAATTTGTTTAGTGGTGGCTTCACCAAAACTATCTCACAACAAAATTGACGAAGGCAATCTAAGAAGGAGAGTTATCTAAAAAAGAGAATGGTTATCGTGTTATCGTAAAAGGTATTAGAATTCCGACTCCTATTGTGGATATGAGAACACCTAATTGTTTACTTTGGATTCGAAACAAAACTCTAATGTGTCATCAAAAATATTTGTCTTCACTCAATTTCCGGTGCAGAAAATACCATTAGTTTCTCTTTGTATTTCATCCGTTTACATTATTCGATAATATAATATGTTCTAAATCAATTTCAATAAAATAAAGTGTTAAAAAAAAACATTAATTTGAAAAGAAAAATATTTTCCGCCTATGGTACATACATTATTTTCTTTCTGATTACAAACGACTTTATTATTTTGTTAATGTAACCCATGTAACTTTGATGT